GTTTTGTGTGGCGCATATATATTTGGTGCCTCTTGTACCAATATTTATTTTCAAATAAATAAATAAAAATCAGTAGGCGCCTAGCTTCCAGATCGACAGGTTGGATTCTGTAAGGATCGATTGTGCACAGACCGAATCGCGACACTACATTCCATCCAATTAGACAATCGATTTAGTGTAACTCGTTACTATACATCAACTTCCCTGACTATGAGGCGTTTGACAGCGTGTATTAAAGAACCTTATGGAACCTTCTTCGGCACTATGGTATACCTGAAGAGATCGTCAACATAACACGGAATTCATACGATGGACTACACTGCAATGTCGTGCATGGACGGTAATTCATAGGTGCTTTCCAAGTGGGGACTAGTGTCAGACAAGGCTGCTTACTCCCTATCTCTTTCTTCTGGTGGTTGACTGGATTATGAAGACCTCAACATCCAAGGGGAAGCACGGAAAACTATGGACAGCTTGGATGCGGCCAGACTATTTGGACTTCGCAGATGACCAGACCCTTCTCTCCCATACACACCAAAAATGCAGGTGAAGACAAGCAGCGTGACAAAAGCCTCTGCAACATCGGGCCTCAACATACACAAGGGAAAAAGCAAGATCCTCAAATACAACAAGGAGAACACCAACCCAATCACACTTGATGCAGAAGCCTTGGAAGAGGTGAAAACTTTCACGTACCTGATCAGCATCATTGATGAATGAGCAGAATCTGATGTAGACGTGAAGGCGAAAATTGTAAAAACAAGGGCAGCATTCCCACAATTGAAGAACGTATGGAACTCAAAACAACTATCAATCAATGTCAAAGTCAGAGTCTTCAATACGAGCGTCAAAACAGTCCTACTGTACGGAACTTAAACTTGGAGAACTACTACAACCATCATCAAGAAAGTACAAATATTTACAAGCGGTTGTCTACGTAAGATACTAAATATCCGTTGGTCGGATACCATCAGCCTACTGTGGGAGAGAACAAACCGGCTTCCAGATCAAGAGGAAATTAGGAAAAGACGTAGGAAGTAGGTTGAGCATACATTACGAAAATCGTCAGACCTCATCACAAGGCAATCCTTTACTCCGAATCTTGAAGGGAAACGTAAAATGGGAAGACCACGGAACACGTTGTAGGAGCTAGTACTATATCAAGCTGAAATATGCTACCCTAGCCTTCTCCACCGCGCATCATTTCGTCTCGCTTCGCTCTCTCCTCTCCATTTCGTTTCTTTGATCTTCTGTTCATATCAATGATTCTATGTAATATACGTACTTGTATTTGACTTATACAATTCCGTTATTCACTAAAGCAATTCAAGTCGATAATTATTTACGAGGGTATGTGTATTTCGATAACAATCAGAAACGATCTAACTGGAGTCAGATACAAGGGCCAGTAAAGTGATGAGCCAGTCGATAACATCATCGTTCAATCTAATTGGCGTCAAAATGATTGGCCACTAAAACATTGAGTCTGAAACTGGAAGGCGAAATCAAAAGAATGAATAGCAAATGAATAGGACAGAGTTCGGCGAAGAATCCTGATGGGCAGTCTGCATTCCTCCACGAAGGTTATCAGGCGTAAGTTGTAGTTTTACTAAACTCCATCCTCATGTAGATGGATACAGTACTAGAGATTGAGAGGAAACATCAAAATGTATATACGACAAGCCTTCCAACTGGACGCTCGAATCAGTTTCCTTAATGCATCTTATTATCTCAGGTCAAATCTACACGGAGACTTGAACACAAGAAAAAAGGCACGAAGTGTAAAAAGATCGCTTTACTCTAAGTTTCTTTTATGTGAAAAAAACCGACGGTATTTATAGTATTTCAGATGACCTTAGGCTCCTGGAATTTTCTGCAACAAACTAAATATAGTAGCATCATAAGTGAGTATCCAATCAAAAGTGTGACGTGACACTTCACTTCCCAGATGTTCCTGCGAATTATGTAAACTAATTAATTAACTGAATTTATATTTGGAGAACATTACTTTTTGTAGACTCATAAACATAGTTACCTTATGTGAAAAATACAGTAGCTACGGCCTGTGGACCAACGATACCACCAAATATTTACACCTACACAGCGAAACCGTCTTAGAGGAAATGATTGTGTCCTGTTTAGAAGATCAACAATCCAACTACTTACGTGTCTTGAATTAGAAGTGAAACGGAAGAAATTTATGAAGTTCGTGATTTTAATTTACGTTATCTAAATTTCCAGATCGAGGTCCACAGGACAACTAAAATGAGTTGCTGGACAAAAAATCGAAGACAAATCAGGATGGTGTGAATGGGCCCATGTTGTGTCTTTCTGGAAATACAGTCTTTCTACCCTATATTTCTGTCGTCAATTTTTCTCTGCCGTTTCTTAACTTTTAGTTTGGTTGTTATTTTAACAGGTTATATTTTTGGCTTGCTTACCTTTTTGTCTTGAATCCTGACTAGTTAAATTGATCTTATTGTTTGTTACAATTCTTAACTAACTACTTATGACCTATAGTTTCTGAGAAATAATAAACTAGGCGTGTGTCAAACGGAAACAAAAAGACCCGTCGTAAGTATTACAAATCGTCATGACCAGTGGAGCTAAACCGTGTCATGTGATCCGGTTACTCACCGAAGACAATGGAGGATGGTCGTGCACTGTCGTAGGCCAATCAAAGTTAGGCTTGTATACCTGTGGATTTCGGCTCAGTGGATATTAAGTGTTCGCGTTAGAGAAAGAATGACTTTGGTTCAACTCCTGCTTGTGGGTACGGACCACTGAGTCCCATACCAGGATGGAACTGCCATCTAGTGCTTCTACTTTTCCAATGTTCTAACTTTCATCGGCTCGTGATTTAAATTTTAAAAACCGTTTACCCGTACAAACATTACATGGATTTTAGATAGTCCCATGAACCGTTGAGTGAAAGTTAAACATCAATTGTGACTCATTAGACAATTATCTACCGTATTTATACATATGTAACTGAAGCAGAAAGGACATAAAATATAGCATGATCATAAAACTCCATGTAATCCAATTCACATAGAGCCTTAAATACATTTAGAGCAATTTTCGAAGTAGCCAGATTTCATGAAACCTATTTTGCAAAATTTAATCGACCTTCCACAGCAATTATTTGATTTTATTTCAATCGTGAAAGTACTACATCCCGAGTATTCAGAAAAAATACCAAGTTCTTTGAAGAGAAACAAATAGCAACCTTTTATCCCCTCGCTTGGAACTGGTAAGAAACAAATCCTTGACTGATAAATTTATTAAATCCACAAGAATACAGAAAAGACTAATAGGTATTTAATAAGAAAAAGCTTGACGTCGCTGAAAAGGAGGTCACTAGTATGAATAGTGTAATAAAAGCAAGTTGGTGACTAAATAGGCCTTGAAATGAACGATTCAGCATAAAGATATCTGGTAAATAACCTGTAAACTGTTGATTTGATAGACCGTTAAGGAAACAGTCTTGAAAGGCTATCTTTAAAGATTGACTTAATCATCTTCATATCTGATTCATGTTCATCTGTTGAGTCAGTAAGCTATTGATTTCTCTCTGATGTTATATTAACAGCTTCAATTAACAACTTTGAACTATATTTACTGGTTCAACTGTTTGGGATTCACTATTTCACTTCAATTTTTGAAATGTCATTTTACTTTATTCTCTTGTTTTTCTAAAAACGTTTGTTTACCTAGCGTGGTACAACTTCGTCGTATGAAACTATTTTAACCCTTTAAAAATGAATGTTCATAGGTATGAAATAAGAAGAGAACATTTAATGATGTATAGATTGTTCTTGATTTCTTTAAACTATTAAGAATACATTTCTTGAAGTATATTATGGTTAAAACAGGAAAAATTGAACTGAGATTATGGTGGCTAGCAGTGAAATCCAGGATGCGCGTTTCGTCCCATTAGGGGCTCGTCAGCTGGATGTATCTGCATCCTAGATTTGATGTACACTCCGAAACTCAAACCCAGCACCGTCCATTTCAAACGCCATCACATTATTCACTGAGCTACTGAGTCCAGATATCTATTAGCATGTGCATTAGGGTGAAGTTTAATTCGATTTTTTATTGGTTGCTTGAACCTTCCCACTGATGTTTACGACTGCGAGTGATCAGTCTCTTATTGGCATATGTGCGGATCGCCTTGATATTCCTTTCAGTCCCGGAGTGAACATGAACTCTGCGATCCAGGTGCATCCGGCTGACGAGTCCCAAATAGGACGAAACGTGCATCCTGAATTCCACTGCTAGCCACCATCATCTCAACTTATAATGCTTATGACTTAAGGCAATATCGATACAATCCGCACGGGATGTATATATGCCAATAGGAGACTGACCAATTGCAGTCCTAAACATCAATGAGAAAATTCAAGAAACCTACACGAAATTGAAGAAGCAAATAATGTTTACGCTGCAACAGTGTTAGTTATTGTAATGAAAATTGAATATCCCATCCTAATTATAAGATTTTAGTTAATTAGTATCAATAATTGTACTACTGAGAACCTGTACATATATCAATTAATTAAACAACATAAGATCAACTTTCATCAAATTAATGAACATTTTACTTTAGTTAAAATTTTGGGATTTGAATACCGTCTGAGAAAGTTAGATTATACTATTACCACAAGAAATTCAGAATTATTTCAGTCGTTTTTCCCAATAATGAAGTAGATACAATATTGGAGTAATATGAATAATTATCATTAATACACAATTCTGTGTGAATGAAGAAATCCACACATGAAACTAACTAGTTTATGTACTTGCCTTCAAACTATACATTGTGTGACAGCTAATGATGCAAACCAGTTGGGGATATTGAAATGACGACTAAATGGTTGAAAGCTGGGTTTTAAACCAAAAGTCACCACTTTACTGTGGCTGCAGAACGATAAGTAAACAAAAGCGGTGATGAGACAACATCTTTGAATGATGACTAATTAGAAAAACTTCATAATCATATGAAAACGACAATATATCTTGATTTGGTCCTTCAATTCCATTCCAAAACTGTAAAAACCAAAATAACTAATTCATTTATACAGAACGATATAAAAAGTAGGAAAGATTATAAAAAGTGTATTTAAAATCCCAATTTAAGCCGCAACAAAAAACATTTTAGACGAAATAGTCCATTATGCTGACAAGAGAGATCTTAAAGATGTATGCGATATGTTGAAAATCAATTGGAGAAGTAAATGATGAATGTTAGCGGAAAAAAAGGAAAAATAATACATTGTAGGAAAAAGTCAGTAAATGTGTAAGTACCAGAAAACTACTATATATGTGCATATAAAATATATCCATTTCTTGTTGCTGACTAAAATAAAAACATTCAGAAAGATGATGATAATCATGGACTAAAATAGGATATAAATCTCCTTTCAAATTTCAATGTTGAAACAATAACACCACATTAAAAGAAAATAAGCTATATATCATCCAAAAATGAAATATACTCCATTACAATTAATTAGTATTCAACTTCTGATAAAATATAGAGAGATTAACTAAACAACAACAAAAAAATAAGAGTATTTGCATCCAGTAATTAAACAGTGAACATAAATAAGTTTGCGGAAATCCGAATGTATTTTGTAGATCGAATACAAATGTGATTTTTAAAATGGTCAGGATCTAACATTCAGGTAAATAAAATGGTATAGAGATCTATTTTGAAACATGTAGAAATGCTTTAATTTGATCGTAACATGCATACGAAACACTAACAGCCGGTAGAACTTTAAGAATATTTGGCCCTAATCCTCTAAATAAACCTGGCACACCTTCATGTTCTACAATATTTTCGACAATCTTTAATAATCCAGTCTATAGAAAAAGAGATAATAATAAGTGCATAGTAGGTAAGAAACGAAGTCACATGCTATTCAAGAGATTCTATTTTGTTTGAATTAGAATTATTCTAAAGACAAATTTGTACCTAAAGCCTTAAGCCGCATTTAAAAATCTTGAAACAGTGCCTTAAATGCTTATGGTGATACTAAAAACTGTTGACTGATACTTCACATATCTGTCGGACTATCTTGTTGTTTTATTGCAATAACTACTTCAAAGGCACAAAAGAATCACATATTAATATATTTAAATAGCAAGGTATAACTCGCAACAACTAGTATTACTACATTTCTTAACAGTACTTTGTGGAAAAATGATAAGGTAAGATGAGAAGAATATCACTGAGCATCTATAGATAGTAAGTTGGGAGGGTATTGCATTCAAACGAATTTTCTATTTAGTGCTTCAGTAAATAAATGCCGATGAATAAATTTAAACGGTATATGTAATTAATTTAAAGATAAACATGTCAGCGCTTTCAAAAACCCAATGCCTAATGCACAAATCACGTTGTGTAATTTGGCTAGTACGGTGTTCCAGCCGTGTTAAGGTTGGTTAAGCCTTTACGACATACACATCAGCATAAGGACTCTTTCAGGGCAGGTTGATGGTCACATCTTCCTAGTATTTGCCATCATATTTTTTTATTATCTACAGTCTGAAGGACTGTGCCGCTGATCTTATCAAACATAGAGAAGACATTCTTGAGCTAAAGTTACTGGTGCTAACGCACGCTCATGCCGTTTGCATATACCTATTAACATATTTCACACAGGCAGGCTCATACAACTCATATACATACGCATACACATCTGGCGGCTCGCAAGACGCTTTGGGACCCTCGAAAAATGGGACCCACTGAATTCGATTTACAGCAGAGTAGTGGATTAGTCTAATCTCTACCGACTAACCAAGTTAGCTAGCAAGGTTGCCCCTACTACCCTGCAGCACAATGAGGAGGCCTTAGATCGGATTTTGCTACCTGTAACTGGTAGGTATTTGTTTACTTACGAGACACTAAGGTTTGCCAAACTAAAAATCTATAAATTTGATTCTCTAAAAAGAACTACCATATGGTATTTATTTTAACTTGGCAGTTTAACAATAAAGGAAACCTGAATTCTGACTTATGGTTTAGATAATAAGTATAATCTGGATGTTCAGTAGTTAATTTTAAGCATTTCTTTGAATGAGATCAATTTTATAATGACAAGTTGGTGAATAAGTCCAAAAACTGACTCAAAAATGTTCTTAAACCACAAGGTTTAAAGAAATTAGAATAGTTTTGACGTTTTGTAAAGTGTGGTAAGTATATTACTCCATAGAACAAAGCTGAAAATGGTGATTTAAGTACTAACGACCTTTCATCACATAAAAATATAATCCACTCCGATGCAAAAACACAAGAAGTATGATTACATTTTAAGCCATTTCTCCAAGAAAAAGCTTGAGATTACGCTTTCACTAGAAAAGCACATTAATGGAAACAAATACGACTCCTACGTTTGAACAAAGATCTCATCCGGGAAAAAAACCACCTGTGTAATACTTGTAACAATTGTCTTCTTCGTATTCATACCGTTTGTCAACCTATCCGTTTAGAAAGTTAAAAGAGAAAAATTCATAGAGATATATTTGAAGTGGTAGCTACTTAAATCATTGGAGAAGATTCCAAAAGGAGTCATTACGACACGTTGTAAAGCATAGCTCAACCAGTTAGAAACAGAGTCAATAAACATTGACCAAACACAGGAAATAATCACAAAATAAATTGTGAACTAACTTTTTCTGAAGATGCCTGTGCCTGCAGTTTTGTCCGAACCAACGCCAATGGATAGGTGCCTAACTGACCACATAATGATGAAAGAGCACCGGCTACAACAGAAACATAAACTGGTGGAGGTATATTTTGAGACTTCTCATCCTTTGATAAAAATGCTTTAGAATATGATTGTTTAAATGTTTCAAACATAGCCAATTCTATTCCAGCATACGGCAGAATACCCAGTATATTAGGCACATAGCCACGATAGAATATAGTAATACCATTACTGTGATATAACTTTCGAGCACAGTCAAATATTGACGAGTACTGTCCACTTTTACGCAAACACATTCGTGTTTTCAATACCTAAGGACAGAAACAAACAATGGTAATTCTAGTAAGATATCAACAGGTTAAACGTAGACTCTTTTAATACTAACAAACACTCATTCATATGGAACAGCTATATTCTTTGTAGTGTTTTGATATATGAAGAGAGAGCTCTCGTTATCAGACTAAGTATAAAGAATATTGTCAAGGCAAAGTAAGAACAGCAATTTTTACAGTGAAAGACATCAGGAATGTAAAGCCATTAAGGTTAAAATATGAAAGACAGGTAAGAGTGGCATAATATCACAAAAGCTGCATCAATAATAATAAACATGCTTATTTTCTGTGTTAATTAGATTGAGGTCTGATTGTATCACGCATATTCACTTTTGACAGTAAGAATTGATTATTATATAGAAAATCAGCTTAACCGTTGCGGCTACCAATATTGAAGTGGTAAACAAACGCGACTCGATAAAATGTGTACAATAAACGTACAAAACCATTAAGGTGTAGACATTATTATCATCACTGTGAAACGTTGTGTACCCAGATAATCTTACTGCTTCCTACGCTTCTAGTTTTATAGTGTAAATCACTTATAGCTTAATAGTGTAGCTTTTTATAAGTAATATCTTACGTAGAACATGAAAAATGATTCAAGGTAATGTGACTGGTCAATGAAAGACAAAAAATGTGAACTATGAATAAAAAAGAAAAGCATATATAAGGACTGGTACTCTTATGCTATTTGAAAACAGTTTATAGCTATATTACTGAATATTCTCAGTCAACAATTTTTAATCACATATCGCTTGTAGTGAATATCAATAGGAGGGATCAATGAACTGAATCCGATAACTGTGTATAAATCACTAAGTTGTCAGTATCAATTTAAAAATATTCAATAGATACGAATAATAGAGAATTAACATTAAACGGAGATTCGGCAGTTGTTACCAACTATAAAACTGTATCTTCTAATGAAACCTTATCTTATACAAAATTTTTGAATTAAAGATTTGCTTAGTGATAGATAACCTCTTGTTTTGGGCTTTTGTATTTTGGATGTATCATAAAATGAAGGTCGAAAAAGAAATCACAAAATACCATAAAACACTTGTACATATCTTATAATTTGTATGCAAATGATACTTCCGATAAATACGTACTTAGTTTGAACATCAGTTGGACTGTATAACTAAATTTCAGTAACAGTTTGGTTATTCATAGAGATTTGGTGAAACAAAACTTTAAAATCAGGAAATACGGGCAAAAAATCATCCGCTACCATATTAGCGTAAAATAACTGAACTTGCGTAGACAAATCTCCAAATGAAAAGCCATCTTTTACATAAATTTACCGAATAACTCCGGAAATATATTACTTTCGCAACATATATTGATCACATGTGTAATACTCAAAGATGTCAACAAATAAACATTCACATTCTACTTGAAAATATGCTACCAAAGCAAGATAGTAAGGTTTTTAGAATGATTTAGCAACATGACAGTGCATACAGTTATGATTTATAACTAAAGGCAGAAAATACATACCTCCATAGGATATATAATACTTTGGGAAGTTGCACCAGCCAATGAACCGGCTAAGAATTTAGTATGTAGTTGAAGACTTCCATCTGGATTACTACCAAATGATTCGTTTAGCCAGCACTTGTAAACTTCATAAGCCTGAAATTTAATTGCTGATTCTGGAGCAATCTTTAAACAGTTAACACCATTCCCACGCCATAATGCTGTTACCCCACCTTCTTTAACCATTTTATTAACTGTCCCCAATAAACCTACTTCTGAAGCCTTACTTCCAAGTGCTTGCCATGTTAATTTAATGCGGTCCAAAGGCGCCGTTACAGTTCTAGAGATGCAACCAGCAATACCTAAGACGTTCGAATTCAACAAATGGGTCATTTTAGGAAGGTCAAAGAGGAAAATCGTAATAACCAATTGAATGGAATACAATATTAATCAAAACAACAAACAGAAATTGTTGTGATTGTTCGTCACTAATTATGTCAGAATCGCTTACTACTTATACTTGTAAAACGAGGGACCACTTCAGGAATCTATTAAAAGAAGCTGTCGCAACTTAGGTACCTTCCACCAAGTTTTGTTTGACAATCACCGAGACGAATAAAAACACATGGATGGTCGAAAAACACCATAACACATAATTAATTAGTGTGACTGTTTATTCACTTTGCATTGAACAATAATGACTGATAGATTTTGAGATTAGAAACTGAAAACTAATCTGGTATATGGTTTATACATACATAATAGGCGTATAAAAAATCAAACACAAACTACTTTTGATTATTTAGGTGTTTTCTCTGAGTTGAAAGACTTAGTAATGAAGTTTTTATTGTTATTCTAAACACCTACATCAATACCTGATTCATATCGCTAATATTGAGATAGATAATAAAGGTTTCATGCGCAAACTATCCAGCTTAGACCCTCATCCTCAGGTACAAATACTCCACATCACCTTAATGCAATTCAAAATTTCAAGAAAATGGAGGACATAAGCCCCCGTAAAATTTCGGTAATATCGACTGATATTAGATATAACCAATAACTCCAGCGATAGTTTGACTATACCATAGTAATTCTACTAATGTGACTACTTCATGCCAATCATCAATGATCTCAACTATAAATTAAGTAACAGATATCATAGCAGAATCAAACATACCACTAACAGTAAAAAAAAGTAATCTGTTTTCACCTCAAACGGCCATCTATCTAATGTAGAAAATTGAAGGTAATCCGTCATTTTTACAACAACGAGAACTGCTACTAAATACACAACGGTACTCGAGCCATTTTTATCTGTCGGTTACATCAACTCAAGTAGAAGTGACTAAAAACTAAAAGACTGTAAATTATCTTTATGTTAGAAAAGACATAGAACAGTCAACTTGTAAATGTTGCGACAAACTCATGGTACTAATAACAACTCATGCTGTAAATACTTGATGCAATGTCATTTAAGTTGTTTCGTTTTAAATGCTAGCTCTGTATAAAAGTCTTAACAGGTCCAGGAGTTATGCTATGTACCAAAAATCCAATTATTAACAACCACATGTTACAAAGTGTAGCAGAATAGAAAATACAAATTTCGTATGCATTACTCCTTTAATTAGGAGTAAAGTGTTTTAAATTACCAGATAAAAATGTGAAAGGTAAATGAACACTACAACTCAAATTACAGTACTAACCTCCTGAGACCAATGTTTTCCAGGCATCTCCAGACTTCTTTTCTTCTTCTGTGAAATCATCCGGAACACACATATTTTCACCTATGTCAATGGCTGATGCGTGTCGCCAATATCTAAATATTTCATCAATCTTTGAAGTCCCACTAAATAGCAAAAAGTCTCTCCATTCTTTATAATCAATGTCTAGGGAACCGTCCTTATCTATACGCTTAAGCAACTTCTGTGCATCGGCTTCGCTCACATTAGCACCAAGTCTTTTCATGGCTGACTGGATTTCGCTAGCGTCTATCCGATCATCACTGTTCTGATCAATTTCTTTAAATGCGAGTTTCAAATGAGTTTCAGTGTCATGAATGTAAGAAAGAAACTCTTGAAATGTAAGTGTTTCATCTTTGTCCATATCTCCTTTGGTCATAATTTTTTTAGCTGTTTTGTTGTTAGTATCTGTTTCATCTTTGCTTCCTTTTATGACACGACTAAGTTCAGTAACACTGATACGACCGTCTTTATCTATATCTAAATCGCTGAATAGTTTCCCGATACGTTCTCGATCGGTATCAGATAAATCAGACATATTCAACATCCCACTTTAACTTTAAAGAAAAAGTCTGAAGAAAAAATGCATCAGGATTATGGATGATTACTAACAATTTGTTGATATCTAATGAAAAACAAATGAATAAACTAATGAGCGATAATTATAACTCTATTATTTACTAGAAATCAATCTTTTTTGTCATATGGAAATAAACGCACATATACGAAGCTACTTACAGTGATAATTGTAAACGTATGCGTAAAATCATTCATAAACTAAGTACATATCTTAGAGATCAGCTAGTAATAAGGTCAGAGTAATCGAAAAGACCAATATCGTGCAAGTTACAGAAATAAGGACAATTTATTGTTGTCCTCGTATAATAACCACTAATAAGTTTTAAAAATACTACAGAAGTAAAAGAAACGAAAACCTATAATGGTCATTCTGCCTTACAACTTTCAAGAAAATTCTGATAGTCTTGATATAGAAATGACATTCACGCCAGACTAGCATCATAGTCGTGTTTTAGAGAAGTTAGCTCACAACATATTTTAACACTGTTATAGGGTCTAGACGCAACTGCTATTATGCTTGAAGATAACTTGGCAGAAAAAGCCTTAATATATATTTTAATCACGCTTTTAGGTGTTTGACAGTATACACTTTTAATTATTAGTGAAAGAGTAAATGTGTTGGTTACGCACTTACTAGGGTAAATTTGAGCTAAACACATTCTTCCAACAAACCAGCGGTTTTAGAGAAAATAGGACAAACCATTTTGACAAGCACAGCTTCAGAAAGGTTGCTAATAGATACGTTTAAAAAATTTCTACTGCAGTACATACACTTTAAATGAGAAAATTATTGATAAAACAAGCATATATAGATGTAAGCCTTCAAAGTCTTACACTTCATGGTGTATTAGCTTAAGGGAATTTAAGAATACTCATATAGCCAACTAACGGACGGTGGGGTGAAGGTTTTGAACTAGCACAGTAACCTATCTAGTTTGGGTGCAGGAAGTTGACTTGTTAAAAGTGTCGATCGCTCTAGCTACTCATATAAGAATACATAAAATTTGAATGACTCATTACCTTGTTGTTTGTGGTGACTAAGAGACAAGCCCATCAATGATTGTGCAGTGAAAGTATGACCCAATTATCTGTGGTCTTAAGTCACATTGAAAAAGTACTCGTCTTAGTGACTTTACATCAATTCATACTGGCGGTCGAGATAAAAAATAAGGGTGATGACAATGGATGCATCTGTACTGCCTAAAATATTTGACATTTTGTTTTGGTCCTACCCCTTCACGAAACTTAATTTCCGTTTATTTAGTCCACATCCGAATTTTACGTGTTGTCATTAGACAGAAAAAGCTGGGTTGAACTATAACACATTTGAAAGACGAAAATTCACTTCACTCTATACTCCTGATCATGAGACAATTAAATCTGCATTTGTGAATAACATGATAACAAGTGTATATCACTCAGTTTCTCACAGACAATATGCTCAAGTATGCTAGATATTTTATAGCTCTAAATACAATGATGCAAATCGGTTCAACATTTCGGTAAGTAACATGTCATTAAATTTTTACAATAACTAAAGTGACAAATTTCATAAGTCGAGAAAATGGGCTAATTTTTGTTGCTGTATCGGTTAGTCCGACGACAGAATCCTACTTCGATTGACTAAACAGTAAGCTGAATACAGGAGAATTTCATAGCTGTATTGATAACAACAGGCCGCAGTAGCATCTGTGGCATTGTGGTCGCTTTTGAAAGGTGTTACCTAAACTTTTAAATCACTGAAACTGCTTTTCACAAAAAATGTGTAAAAGACTTGACAGACTTTTTAAAAGTGTGTCACAGTAATTAATATCAAACGGCCATTCGCTTTTTTCTAAAAAAATCTCATAACTACTTTAAGAAAATGTTCATATTCAGGACGTAAACATTCTCAAACTTAGAACTGGGTACTTGGTTCACAGTAATAAATGCACAGCTATGTCGGGGATTATTTATTTCAGTTCGCCTATTTAATTATTTGAACCAAGAGATACTAGTCAGAAATGCACAAAAGTAAACTAAGTTCATTAGTGTTAGTTGGATACGAAATGACTTCACAGTACAGAGTGTAAATCATAACCACTCTATAATCCTACAAAGTTTGAATCGATGCAACCACAGTTGAAATTAAAATATAAGCTTTTAGATGCAGCCCTCAATAATAGAACATACGAAAATAACACTAAAACCAGTAAAAAAAAAGATATGTACATAGGTGATAGTCCTGTCTATGCTTGTGCATCTGTTCGAAACCGAGAAGTGCTTATTGTTTACGTATTCCATTATAATTAGGCTCGATAGACTACCTGTTACTTGGAAGACGATTACATGTGATGGGAGCTACAGATTAAAAAGCGAAATGTGACAACCGAAATGCTCAGACAACTGTAGTTCAAGTAATAAAAATGTGAAAACCCAGATTTATGAATATTTAAATCAAAAATTTGTAAAATCTTTGTCAGGATAATTTAGTGCTATAAGCGTTCTCCGGTAAGTGTTGCATAAGTGACGGTTTAGATATTCTCATATCGAATAAATATTAGGCTGACTACATATAATACACTAGACTTTTATTTGCAAATACTGTAAACAAATGGAGTAACAACCAAATTTTAGTTGCGAATTATAGACATTTTATTAACACAGAAATGCAGGACAAGAACTAAAAAATACATAACAAGACGAAGAAATAGTACATAACTCAGTACCGATACTTAGTCGAATAGTCTTTTGGAGAGACGACCAAGCCCCGACCTTTTCTTGCACCCCTATACACTGTTTCAACAATATCTATAAATTCCTGTCCGTCGGCTATGGGCCAGTTGATTTTATTGTTGTTACCTGTTCCCAAGTCAATCATAATGTGTTTGTTACGATAAAAGAACATAACAGTGCAGGGATCGTACAACTCGTACATTTTGTTGAAGTCTGGAACTTGAGTTATGTCAACTAAGTACGTGATTGCGAAGTTCTTCACTCTCTCGGCGATTTTAAAAAGAGTTTCATCCATGACCATACACGATGGATCCCAGTCGTGACCGAAGCGTATGATGACAACTCTGTCCTCTTCAGATAGTATGGCCTGGTCTACTTGCCAGCCATTAGTTAGGTGAGAAAGCATATAAGACATGTTTCCAACAATCAAAAAGTAAAGGCGAGATAATTAACGAAATAATGACCTAGACTTTTCAAACGTCCCCCGGTAAGACAGAATTCACAGTTGTATTTCGTGGTGAAAAGGCAATAAATCTAAGCTATGTGTGTAAATCCATGTCATTTTTGGCGATAACTAATACTAAAGATGTTTCTTTTGTTTTTCAGACGTTAGTATTTGAATTCGCGATGCACATGCAAACAGTCTGACTAGCATTGTCGTTAAGTTACTTGAAAAGATAATTCGGGTTAGGTTGCTAAGCCACATAGATTCACACAATCTGTTAGCTCCTGAGCAACATGGATTTCGTGATAAGCGTTCATGCTTGACTAACTTACTTATTGCGAGAGAGGATTGGACAGCAGCCTTAGATAAATGTCTGTCTGTCGATGTTATATTCATAGATTTTAGCAAAGCATTTGATAAGGTTTCACACTTAGGTCTTATGCAGAAGCTTACAAGCTTCGGAATAATAGGTGCTGTACAGGAGTGGATAGGAAACTTCTTATGTGACCGCAGACAGAGAGTTAGGGTCAATAGGACGCTATCCGATTGGAAGCCGGTCAAAAGTGGTGTACCTCAAGGCACCATATTAGGCCCTCTGCTATTCCTTCTCTACGTAAATGAGTTACCGCTGTTGCTTAGGTCGTCGACATTATTATTTGCGGATGATGTCAAAATATGGAGAGCAATAAGAGGTGAGGCTGATCATCTGGATCTTCAAGCTGACTTAGACGATTTAGTTAGATGGGCTCGAGATTGGGGTTTAGAAATCAATTCTAGGAAGAGTGTGCTAATGCACATCGGTCACGGCAATAGTTACCATTATACTACTGGTGGTAAACCTCTTCCATGCGTTCAAGAACATAAAGACTTAGGAGTAATAATAAGTCATGATTTAAAAACAACTACGCACTGCAACGCAGCCGCTGTCAAAGGTTTTCGTGCGCTGTGGTCACTTCCACGAGCGTTCAAATCCTTTGACGACGAAATGTTTCGAATTTTATATCCCCCCTATGTAAGACCACATTTAGAGTACTGTATACAAGCAGATAGCCCATGTCTGATAAAGGATACTACCTCACCTGAGCGTGTCCAGCGTGTGGGAACGAAATTAGTGAGGGGTCTTTCTAAACTCCCTTACGATGAGCGTTTAAAACGCCCAAACCTTTTCCCCTTGTCGTATCGTAGGACTCGAGGTGACCTTATGCTGGCATTTCGTATCTTTAATTGTGATTTGGGTGTTAATATATCTTATCTTTTTGCTCCCTCCAGCACTAATAATCTCCGAGGTCATAACAAGATGGTTCATAAACCACGATCTAATAAACTCAAGGTGGGGTTCCGTTTTTCTCATCGAGTAGTCAATGATTGGAACGCTTTGCCCGATCAAGTGGTATCAACCCCATCAGTGAATATTTTCAAAGAGAAACTGGACCTTCATTGGGAGGCAACCTGTTAGGATTAAAACAGGTTCACTAACCTACTATGTTTATTACTGAAGACTGAAGACTGAAGACATGTCTTGGTCGCAATATATCCAGTATCTTTGTCACGAGCTTTGTATAAACCAGTTGATTTCTTTGTGCTTACTTCCTTGGTTTCAGGTATTGGTTGTTTATAATAGTTAGTGGTCTAGCCACTTGATGGCAATAATTCTAGTCAATGTGCTAATTATTTGTGGGTTTGTATATCTTGTGGTTGCTTGGGTGCTTTCGACTCAGGACAGTAGGGATCCTGGATACCAGCAGCCATGATATTACCAGACGGGACATTGGTTGGCTGGAATTTAAAACAATAAAGTGACGATTTAATTGCTAAGAGATCATTTTTTCAGGAACAAATAATTACTTTGTCTAATTGATTGCGTAAGAAGCTGAAAGTGAAAGAATAAGAAAGGAACGGAGATGATTATGAGAGAGGTAGGAAGTAGTTCCCTGTTCGCACACTGCGTTTGCGAGATTCATCCCGACTACCACCCACTAGCTCTGGCACTCCGCGAACGACCATCTTGATTGATCCTGATCCTCATCCCCCATGGCATATGTATTGTTGTGTCTAACTCGGAGTTGAAATGATTGCTTTAATATGAGCCACTCTAAAACGATTTGCATGCTATAAATCATGAGCTTTGGCCTAATAGAATAAACTTTGATTAGATAGTTGTGTGTTTAGACTAAATGCTGAAATTTCAGTCTTCTCAGGTGGTCTTTGAAATGTCAATGAAATTTCTTGCATACCTTGCTATGAATTCAAAGTTAGCCTCAGAAAGGATGTATTCCTTATGCTAAGTTTCAGCCCCTACACAAGAGGAATAGTTTGGCTGCAATAATATCCTTTCTCAGTATTTTTAAGTGCTTGTCACATTGTTCTTTAAAAAAAAGCTTATTTATCTTCTGATAAGCTACGCTCCGACATCGGGAGATTAAACAAAATCAATGGGTTTTGTTCAACGTCTTTTTCCCACATGTTCAGCGTTTGAGGAGCTATGCTTTTGCCATTTCCTTTCTCAACACTCACCCATCGCTCCTTACTGTTGGCAGATAACATGCTACTAGAAACGGTTGGTGGTTTAGTTTGTGTGTGAGCTCGGATTGCGGCTCACATAGTCACGTGTTTTGGTGAGCCCGCGTTTAAAAATTCGTATATTTTGGTAGAAACTGATACCTTTCCTTTCAATGAAAACTTGTACTTCCATCTTGTTAGTTCAGTTGATGTACATTTCTACGTTGTGAGTAAACATACCAGAACCACAGACAGGGTAACTTATCATGAAGTTGTAGTGCCGCGTAGGTACCTCATTATAACAGAAGCAGTAAACCCAGCTACTGCAAAGATTGCATTCAAATGCTAAGTAGCTGGTTTCTATTCGCGACAAGTATGAGATGGAATCATCACTTTTGTGTTGCTCCTCTCGAGTAGTCTGCAACATGGACAGGTGAAGATACCCTCTTCTCTGATGTGCCTTTTTGATTACTAATCTCACCAGGAGTAGAACTCCAGTAGTAGTTTTTTCCTGAAAACTTAACTGGAGATTCAGTTTTTGTGCTACGGTTGAGTTATTCATAATGTAATGATTATAATCACAGTAATAAGAACAATCCGTAATTCTTGTAATATGTACTGGTGCAAACATAGGCTTTCTGCGTTATCTTCTGCTTTATTAGCAACAAAGTCAAAATTTTATCAATACAAAGTTATGAGATTTTTCTGCTGAAATTTTCCTTTCGTGATTGTTCACCAACGTATATATATGTTCCTTCTGAATTGTTAGCGTTCAGTTTGTTTTGTGTGCCACAACTAATTAAGCCTGTAGCGTGGATTCGACTCGCTATTGACTATGAACACCACTACAAGAAGACTACGTGCCAACTAACCAATAAGATCCCCGTAGGCCAATATCAGAAGGCAGATGATGGCTGTAGTCGAGATGTATTTGTTGGCGATCTCATGGTATCGAAAGAATACCGAGATCGTGCCAAAGGAGTACAAGCGTGGTTACTAAGCGTAACCAAATTCGTACAAGTTCAAAGTCAACGGGTGAGTGATTGTAATGGCTGTCATTAGCATAGTTAAACAAACGAGCACAGTAAGACAATCACTGGTACAATTGGTTGTAATAATAATTGTTTTCATCGAAGCAATCGCGTTTTGTCGACAAAAGTAGGTCAATACAAGCCGTCTCATTTCACATTTTGCGTCATTCAAAATAGTTCGTCTCTCATTAGGTTTCAAATACACGTTATAGATAGATATTCTAATCCACATTTCATATGTATATGTGCACCCAAGCCTTGAAAGCTCGATAAGATTTCGTATGTAAAGTATTTCTTCAAATCTACTAGGTATTGCTCATTATAACAATTGGTTTCCCGATAATATAAGAACATTCCCAATCTCCTTTCCTGAATTTTTGTAACTTTCCTTTATGGATAACACGTGATCCGCTTCTTGAGACGTCAGAATGTCTGTTTACGATAGTCGTCGAAACAGTTCTTCTACGTTCGTCAAGCTAGTTTGTCTATATTTGAAAGACAGCAAATTTCCTTTGAAGGTGTCAGCAGAATCGTTGTTGGCATTTCGATAGTTAAGCGGAATGATGGTACGTCCAAGTTTTGCTCCTTCCCGTTATTGAAGTACGGTATGTCGATTTATTTGTAATTTACGAACCCAAATTAACAACAGAACCAAAAAACCAAATTAGGTACCAAGTTTATTCGCAATTCACAAATAGTCGACCAAGTGTCGTTCTAACAACAATAATTATAATAACTACAAGACAAACCTTCAATTTTATAGGTTCCCGGAGCAAAAAACTTCCAATTACCAAGCCAAAGGCAAACAGAAACCAAAATGTCAGAAATAATGATATAAACAAACAAGTTCAGAAGTTAAGTAAAACAAATACATCCAAAAACCAGTGAAATTAATGATATTTAATATAAAGGTTTTAATCAGCCAAATGTCTTCAGTTCTCCCGTAACACTCCCGACCAAAAGAACCTTGGTTCTTTTCACAGACAAAAATAGGTAACAGCGATCCAAGTATGTGCATCACAAGCAATCAACAACAAATATTCAATATACCGACAATCTCGTGATCCCAAGACTTACACCAGTACACCTGGGGATCCGATTAACTACCTACCATCTACCGCTTCGAGAAGACACAGTTTACGTATATCTCTCACTAGAATACGCTTTCTCGTCCTCAGCTCTACCTGTCTTACTAGTCTATACTTACTTGGTATCAATCTCTGTACTAGACCTAAGGGCCACTTGTTTTTCTCGGAAAAGTCAGAACATATCATTACTAAGTCACCCTCCCGTATGTTCCTTTTTAGTTGTGTCCACTTGTATCGACGCTGCAACAGTGAAAGGTATTCCTTAGACCAACGTCTCCAAAATACTTGCGCCAACACAAACAACTGTAACATCAACCATTTAACAAAATGCTCTGTCCTCCATAGAAGCTCATATCGAATTGAATCTAAACAAGCTAAATTTAGCTCATCAACTCTGAGCATACTCACCTGTAGTGACAGATCACCTCTGC